CCATGAAGTCATTAAATTTGTAAGCTATTTGTGATCAAAAGGTGTTTTTCAGGCCATTAACTATGGAGTTTGATCAGGGCTTAACATGTGATGTCAAATGTCACTTGTTCCTGCTATTTCCCCCCAATTTCAGTTGAAAGTAAGTATTAAGCCAGTGGAGAATATCAAAAGCTTCCTGTGTAAAGGCTGTTAAATACCAACACTGAGGTTTATTATGTGCTGTATTTTTTCCGGCTCTCGTGCGAGGCCTTAAAATCCTCACTTTGCTCCGACTCAGCTGGATTTCAAATGTAGGTTAGGACTACTGGTTCTTCAGCTCAGACCACACGCTCTGATCTATACAACACAAAAATGTTTTGAGCTTCAAGGTTCATTCTTGACCTTGAAAACCAAAAACAATACATATTTTCATTGCATTAATTGATAGTGTGGGGAATTAGAATGAAAGAGTGTGTGTGTGTGTGTGTGTGCGTGTGTGTGTGTGTGTGTGTGTGTGTAACATCACCATTAGACAATACATAATCCACTGTTAAAATATTTCCATTTGTCTCATAAAAATATTTTTATTATTAATGGCCAGGGGATATTTAATCCAAGGAGGCTGAAAGACCTGCAAGCTTAAAGTACTTACTCTGCTAAATGTTTTTCCTACGTCGCAGAACACTTTGTTCTGTATTAATGATCTTCAAACTTATGTTTATTAACTATATGTGTTGTTTTGTTATTACGTTTGCTAAAAAAAGCTGATTCCTGGCTCTTGTCACAGCCGTCGGCATGAAACATAAAAACTTGAGCACAAATGTCCCTTTCAGTGGACAGCCTCTTTAGTCCTAACTAGGTGAGCTTTAACTAACTAGGTATTAACTCGGCCCATAAGCATAGTAATAATGTGTTTTTGAACATATGCTGAGATCTGGTAAGCTTCTTACGGGTTCCAGGCTTTTTTTCCCCTGCCCCTCTGAATAGCTTAACAAAAATATGCCTCAGTAATGGATGGTTGTATCCTCATCCACTGCCCTCCTCCCATCTACTATAACTTGAAATAGGCCATCAAGTGGCTAATGAACTGATAAGCCCTCTGTGTCCTGTGGGGCTTATACGAACATCATAAGCCAAATGTTTAGGCATGTTTGGAGAGACAGTTTTTTAAAAGAGCACTTATGTAGACAAAGGACCCTGCTGGAAAAATAAATTCTCTACAGTTGCCACAGTGTGAAAATGTTCCTCCATGTGTGTGTGGAAAAAGTCATGGGCCAGAAGCAATGACTCACTGCAGGTTACAGAGGGAAGCTGAAATATTTTGAGTTGATTTATTTTATTTAGTTGGTTCCTCCGTTCTTGCCGCTGCAGGACGAATGTGTGGCCCCTTTGCTGCATCAGACCTCCAGCTACAGTGGAGCTGCTGGTATCATTATCAGTTCTGGATCTCGGTAAATCCATGGATTTGTGTGAGCAATCTGAGAAATTAAAATAACATGCTTTTTACTGCGCTTATACTTCAAATCTCTTTAGATTTCATTTTTTAAAACATCTAAATCTGTTATTATGTGGGCTACACAAAACCCTTTTAATTTAATCTTTGACAAGATTATCAAATTCATTGATGATGCCACAAACTTAAATAATTTCAGAAAATGTTGACTAAGCCTGGATAAGCACTTTCAAGGGGATACTGCTGGATTAGCTTAAAACATATTATTTATTTATATTTATTTTTTTTGCACATTTTCCCACATCATCATGATGTTATTGCTTGTATTTTTATTTTCAATACAATATTTCGCACTGAACACACATGCATATGCTGTATATATAAAGCAGCCTGCATGCAGACCAACTAAAGGCAGCTAATTTTCATCCAAATGAAAGAATTGAGAGACTTCACTTATTTTTTTTTGCAAATCTGTCAATATTTTTCTTTGCCTTTTCATCACAAATACTCAGACATATATGTTAATTTAAAGTTTCAGTGATGAGAAAAGGAGAAGTAGATTATAATATGATTTGAGTTGCTTGCTTTAGGGTGAAAACACCTGCTGGATTTTGCAGGGGAACCATTCCAGCCTTATTCTTATAATCACCACCCCCAATAATAGTCTGTTGATTTTTTGTGTGTATGTAATTCTATCGATGAGATGTCTCTAAACCTGCTCACGTATCATTTTCCTGTCAGAACCTCCATCTCTCGCGTGCAGGCGTTGCGGCCTTTTGCGAGCATGTTGGCGGATGAACTCGTGGTGCCTGTGACCGGGCGGACAGCGACCAGACCGGGGGACAGGGGCGCCGGGCGGCCCCGCTGTCAGACAACAACCAGGAGGGATTAAGGCCTCCGCGTCTGTTGGTCCCATATGCTCCTCGGCTCTGCAGCTCTGGCCCGGTACTTGATTAAAAACTCAGTGTATGTATGAAGTGTTATTGTGGAGGCCGCATGTCTAATCCTCCTCGTGACTTGTGCACTTTGAAGACGCGAGGTTACAATAACACGTGGGACGAGGCCATTGTGTTTCCCTTGATATTGGAGGTATCAGTGAGCAGTGATTAGGGACATGTTGGCGCATTGTTTAAAACAGAAATTCAAAGTGACAAGTGTTGTTTAACGGTGAGGGGCCACACAAATAGTTGTTGCAGCCCGTTTTCATTGACTCTGCATGACTATAATAGAGAACATTTTTCATGGAGGTCTTGTAATCGATGGAAATGTCGTTTAATCATCCGGATTTATTTAGATAAAGATGATAAAGGCCTTTTGTTGGATTCAAGATGACGCCCGTCCCACTCTTTATCGCTTCTTCTTCAAACCTTACTCGTGATTGTGTCTCCTTCCTTGCACGCATTCATCGCTGCTCCTCAGTTAGAAAGAAGATGTTGTGACATCTCAAAGTGACCCTGCGTTCTCAGACACTTTTTCCTCCTCCTCCAGCATCAGTCTGTCTGTCTGTCTGGATGGATGGATGGAGGAATTGTTGACGCTGAGAGAGGAAGGAGACGCACCTCATGAATATTCAGGCTTGTGCGCGCCCCCATTGTCTCCAAGTTCAATTGTGTCATTGTTAATTCCCACAACGCTGCATGTGAACGCTGCTGAACTTGGCGTTGCGCTGCGCGATATTATTATCGATGCTCGATTATTATAAAATTATACATTAACTCAATTTATGCACAAGTCAGAACCTGGATATAAACAGCTATTCCTACTTCACCCTTGAATAAGTCATGGATATGGGCTATTGTATAATTAAGTCCTTCAATAACACACATATTCACACACACACACACACACACACACACACACTCACTCACACACACACACACTCACACACACACCTATTTTTTGTGTCCAGGCTGCAGGAGTGGAATCAAAGTCGCTCTTCTCTTTAACGCTTCGATTATTTCAAGCAACGCTTTTAATTAGTGCGCTCCTTTAGCGAGAGCCTCCAATGAAAGAGAGATTATTGGCAATGTCAAGGATGCTAATTGAATGTTGGACTTCTAACAATTAGTCCACTGCAGAGCCATGTCGACTCATTACGCATCCCAGAGCCGCTCATGTCCTCACGTTTGACGGGTATAGTTGGACCAGAGAGTTGGAGCAACACAAATAAAAACCAACATAAAAAAGACTTATTTTTAAAAGCAGCCTATAACCTACAAACTCCTCAGTTTTATTTTTAGGAGCCATAACATCTACTGTGCAGTTGAGTGTGGAGTTAAAACGGAGAACCATTATGATAAGCACTTTTAGAAAAGATAATATATGCGAAAAACGAATCATTCAATGTGTTTTAACGTTATATACAGACTTTAAAACCCATATAATAATTTTACATGAACATTGTAGAGTTCAGGTTCAGAAATACAGCACATACAATTGCATTATGCAGCTGTATAAGTGGAGTTAGTCCCCTTTTTAGAAGCTATTTTTTAATTTGAACCCAGAGATAATGAGCTTCATTGCCTATGATAAAAAATGACCAGCAAAGATAATCATCACCAGAATTTTTACATTTTATTTTAACTCTAATATTCTTGAAGTTTTTTAGTCCTTCCCTTGAATATGGGACTAACAGTATTAATGCTTTAACAGCCTCTGTATTTTTCTTTTTTTTAAGTATTGCCGCTAATATACATGTTTTGTATTTTTCTGAGATGAAGCTTCATATTGAAGGTGCACATTTAACTGATCATGTGAGGCTTGTGGAGACCACGCGGTGGCCTCTGAATGCTCCTGCGCCCCACACAAACCCCCGCCGGTATGAAATATTGGGATTAACGTTTCTTGGAGGCCGCGGGATTAAACAACACAGTTTTCTCCATGAGGCGCACACGCACCGTCTTTGTTTAGACACTCTGATGATATAACTACACCGGAAACCAGTGAGGGGGAGGAAAGAACACACATTATTAATTCTACCAACTGAGCAGAAACTATGATTTGAAGGAATCCTAGATTCGTCTATTTTTTGTTTAAAACACTAATATTTGAAATCTGTTTTAGTTCATAATTCCTATGGATAAATATGGAAGTTGATAGTAAGAAGTCAGTAGATTTGAGCAGATTTGAATCCATGTTAAAAAAGTAGATGTGTTGGAAAAACTGCTGATGCATGAGGAAACATGTATAACCTATTATAATCACTAAAATGGTGTTGGTCCAAATTACGCACATCCAAAACTGCACTGGAAAATATGTTAAATCTGCAAAAGTAGCCGATTTCTTAACCAACCGCCTGAACCTCTAAACCGTAAAAATTAGATATTAACATTAGCTTTTTCTTCATTTTTAAAATCTAAAATATTGAGTCATTTTACAACGTTATGGTGCTTTTTTTTTTTAAATGTCCCCAAATGATTACTTCCCAAAAATGTATTTATAAGAAGTAAAATATGTCAATAAATAGAAATATTCCCGGAGCCCAAGCAAATCAGGTAAAAAGAAAAACCCACACACAGTTTTACGCACACACACACGCACGCACAGATCGCTCCTCGATGAAAGAGTATAAGCTCACAGGACCTTTATTCATGTCTTTTCAGCGGTGAGGTCACACCATCTTTGGAGCCAATAAAGGATCCACAATCACCGTGCGTTCAGATCAATGGAGGGGAGCAAATGCGCAGCTCTCAGCAGCCGAGAGTCTTTTCCAGTATGGCTAACCCTGGATTATTACGACCACCGTGCGCCTGGAAAGTCTCGTCTCTCTTTTGTGATGCCGGTGATTTAACCATTAGCATCTTTTGTTGTTCAGAGGAGGAGGAAAAAAAAAGTTAGAAATCTATTAAAATCACAGCAGAGAGTCTGGTGCGAGGGGGGGGGGGGCTCACAAATTGCATACAATACAACAGATCACAGTTTCGAAGGCTAGCACAGATAAAAAAAACACATATGTACCATTTATATAAGACACACACTGATTGTCTCTTAGAAACTACATATTGATTCCTTATAAACACTTTTTTTCTTAAATAAAGTAGTGCATCCATGTCCACACACCATCCCCGTGTCCCTCTGCCTGCAGGGCGGCAAAGTGTAAGAAGCTGAAAGGAGGGTCTGTCCATCCCGAGCTCTTCACCAGATAACAGTGAACTGGAGTCGAGTTCTTGGATAAACATTAGTTCCGTGGCTGTGTTGTTCTTTTCTCTCTGTGCGCTCTCCTCAACAGGTGTTTTTACGCACAGAGGCACACACTGACAGACATGGATGAGGGGCTACAACCTGTGAATGAACGAGGAGGGGGATCTCTTTGCCAGTGCTAAAATAAATTAAACCTCTCCTCTAGGAGGACCAAAGACCATCATGCCAACAAAAAAATAACCTAGAGGCCCCTGAGAGCCCAGCCTCGCCCGGCTCACACTTCAACCAGTCTGGTGCGTTTTATGGAGGGATGGCAGCAGTGTGTGTCTGATGTGATCGTCACTGTTTGTGCACTTTTTTTCAACAGCTGATTGCTCTGTTCACAGGACCTGGAATTTCCACGAGGAAGTTTGATCCTTATAATCCAAGCAATCGGCATTGAAGTTCAGCTTCCACGACGCCGCCTGGTCCTTATAATCCAAGCAGTCTGCTGTGGAGTTGAAGCCGAGGCCGGACGTCCCGTAGCCCTGGGTGGAGAGGGACGCCGGGGACTGGTTCAGATGGCTTGTGACCGCGTTCGTGCTCATCGGGCTGAGCGTCGAGCCCGCGCCCGACAACTGGTGGTGCATGGGGGTGAGGTAAGAGCCGCAGTCCATGCCGCCGAAGTAGGACGTCGAGCCGGCGTAGCCCTGGCTGTAGCCCGAGGCCTGGGTGTAGGTCATGGGGTAGGACCTCTGCATGCAGGAGGAGGAGGTAGACAGGGGGTCTGAGAGCGGAGAGATGGACGCCGGGCTCCAGATGGACACCGGGGCGGTGCTGGTGGAAATGGCGGGGACTGTGGTGGTGCTGGTGGGGGGCGTGAACTGTCCGCTGGCCCCGCTCTCTGAGCTCACTTCTCTGGTCGGGGAACTTTTCTTCTTGGCAGGTCGCACCTTGTTCTGGCCTCCGTTCTGCTGCTGCTGCTGCTGCTGGCGACACTTTGCCCGTCGGTTCTTAAACCAAACCTGATTAGAAAAACACGCATTTCTATATGATTAAAAAAATATTTGATCATAAACAAATAAACCCAGCTTTTCCCCACTCCCTCTATACAACAGCTCATTATTTGGTCCAGTAATACCCCTTTAAAATCAGTGTTTCTTTTATTATTTCCAAACAAACCGTGTGAAAAAACAGGCTGACTAATTCCATTTGTTACCAATCAACATCAAGTTGTTTCCAGACCTTTTCTCAAATTAAATTTTAGCATATTCTGGTACCAGTGGACTGATCCGTCTCATTTAATTGGCCGATTTCTCTACACAAAAATCTATCGCTAAGTTGAATTATCTCAGCCCACTGGCAGAAGTTTTCCACTTGATTTAAGGAAGACAAAATGCTGTAAGCTCCAGTCACGGCTTAAGATCAATGTTTCCTGCAGCGCAGTTATAAAATAGACTTTAGAAAAGTTTCACTTGAGTTTTTCTTTGTATTTATTTCTCTATGAGATATGGCTTTATGTTTAAATTCCATATTTTAAAATCTACTCAATACTTTGTTCAATCCGACTAATTCAAAATTAAATAAAGTTCAGTTTTGGCTGTAAAGGTTCTGAAAAAAAATAATGGCCCAGCCCTGGAGTTTTACATTATTTCTAAATAGATTTGTGAGGATATTTTTGAGTTTTTAAACACGTCAGATCATGTGGTTGTCTCACCTGTACTCTGGACTCAGGTAGATTGATTTTCAGCGCTACCTCTTCACGCATGAATATGTCCGGATATCGAGTTTTTGCGAACAACGCCTCCAAAACGTCGAGCTGCGCCCGCGTAAAAGTAGTCCTTTCTCGCCTCTGCTTCCGCGGCGTTGCTGCAGGAAAAAATAAAAAAATATATAATCAAATAAAAGGTTACTCATGTATCCATAAAAAACTAAAGAGAGCAAAAAAGATTAATTAAATAATCAAAGGCAGAGATGTAGCTCCCAGTATTTATTTTTGATCTGTGCGTAATTACGCACAAGTCCTTTGAGACATAAACGCCCTTGGCAAATTGTAGCACTTGACATAGTTAAGAGTCTAATGGACCTAAAATGTGATGCAGTTGGAAGAAAAATCAAAGCAATTTGCCTGTAAATCACTTGGGAGGCAAATCTAAAAATATAAAATCACACAGGATGATTTGGTCTTCACTCCAAGCCATGCGCATTCCAGTTTGGTAAAATAATCAGTGTAATTTCATGTGTTTGACTGATTGACCAAAAACATACTGACATCCATTACTTGTTTTTACTCTATCTCCTAAAATTCAGGAGTCATCACTAAGTTCAAAGTTTTTGAAATATCTGCTGGTTACACACTGTAACACACACTTTAATATACTTTTAGCCTCAAGCCATTAAAATCCTGTCATATATTCTTTAGAAAGTGTGAACCCACCTGGATAGCCCACTGATGGATGTAAGAGGTCCATGCCAGAAGTTGTTAAGCTGAGGCCATTGACTGTGTAAGGTGGTTGCTTTAGATACGACATCATGCTAATGTTTGTCTGAGGGCTGAAGTTGGAGAAAATTTTGAAAACTGATGGAGCTCTCGAGGTGTACTTGGTGTCCTCTGTTCGCCGTGCAGTGGTCCGTGTTATACCGGACACCTGTTCCAAAATCAAGAGGAAGAAAAAGACATGGATCAGAACGTTACCTGCTGAAATAAAGACACTTAATATTTAGGTCTGTTAAAATGGCGCTGTGGCTAAATGAGCCCTCTCCAGAGCGCACGGCGCTCCAGCAAAAACTGCACCAACCACATCTCCAGCTGTCCTCGTCGCTAACACCGCCCCCTCCTCTAAAGTAAAAACCCTGTAACTGCAACAAGTCATTGTAAAGTGTAAAGTTAAATTAAAGGCACTGCTTCCTGTGCACAATTAAACGGAATAATGGAAACTAGAATAGATGTATATGCTGAAGCAAAGGCTCTTAAAATAACTGAAAAAAGAAATGCTCTCATCGAGCCTCTATTTCCAAAGAGAACATTTTCACATCTTTTTCACCGTGTTTCTATTTTTCTTTTGGTGCAACTCTTATATTTATTTTATCTTTCAAACTTAAAATTTGGTCATTTTTACCTAAACAATGAACCAATAAAATTATAAAAGAAGGAACTGTAGGAATTGTAGCCACAAACCAATTTTTATAAAAAGACCAAAATAATTATCTCCAGACTTAATTTCTTATTTAAGATGATAAACCTATTTTAACGAAGAAACTATAATAATATCTACTTTTTAAAATAAGACTGACATGAATTATCAAGGCCATACAGTGATAGAAAAAATTAATCACTATTTTTTAAAGGTTTAAACCAGAAAATATTTGATGCAGTTAATTCCATAAAAAGAACACATGCTTCCTCATGGAACATGTGATTCTTTTTTTATTCCAGTCCAAATCAACGTTGTAATGTTGATGAGGAAACCTGTGATCTCTGTCTCTTCAGCCTCACTGACACTCACCCGTTATGTCCCCACTGTGCGTCTTGATTAGTTGCACTTTTTTTTTCAATATCCAACGGTTTTAACCCCCTCATCCCAATCTGTCACACTTTAAACACACGTATCCCTCTAACAGCCACACACACCCGCTCAATAATAATTACCCTGTCCCAGAATTGATTGTGATAAATGTTTTTTTATCCTCCTCTGTTGATGAATTAACGAGATAATCCGAGTGGCATCTAACCGGAGCTGTTGTTTGGTATCGACAAAGTGCTCATCGTAATTGTCTCTTTAATAATTCCTGCACGATTGTCTGAGTGAATTGCAGCCATGTTATAGTCATTAGTCTGATATGTATTCTAGACAATTTTTACTCTGTCAGAAAAAAAAATTCTAAATGAAATTCTTAAATCATGTTTAATTTAACCGAGCTAAACTCCCCAATTACGCACAATCTGTCACCAGGCTCTGGAAAACACGAGTAAACATATATTGAATATGACATGTTGGTTTATTACCCTGTGAATTATTAATCACTGGAGACACAGGAGAGCCAGCAGAGAGGAGAGAGGCCCTGAAACAGTTTTTTTTTCTCGAGAGTATTGAGGCCTGTAAATGCTCTTTCTTTATTCCTGCAGTGCAGCTTTCAGGTTAACGCCTCCACAAGTATCCCTTTGTGTTGCATTTGGTTTTCACAGCGAGGAGAAGTGTGTGGCAGATGAAGAAAAAAAAAAAAAAGAATCGGCTCCATTTTAGCCTGAAACTTCACATGGACTCTGAGTCCTCTGTTTCAGCCCGTGATAGAGTTTAAATGATCAAATATATGAGCTCCAGCAATTATGAAAACTCCAATAATGAATACCAGAGAAGCTTGGAGTGATGATTTCTTCCACCAGCAGAAACTATAGTATAACTTGGATGCGTTACGTCCATTTGCACCTTTTACCTCTGTCAGACTCATGTGGATCTTAGAGGGCTTTAATTAGTTACGAGTCACATTGTGTCTATTTAAATAAAAATAAAACATATTTTATTTTAAGGAATAATCATTCGCTTTTTGCTGCCTCTGAAAACCCTGGAGCCTCCTCTGTGCTGTGTGTCTGTGTGAGTGTCATTGTGGATTTTATTTCTGCAACAGTAACATAATGAAATGTTTTACTTACTATTTTAAACAGCTTTGTATTTAATAGAATCAGATATGTATATATACATATTTATTTTATTTTAAAAAGTGTCTATATTGTACCTGTGATCTTTTATAGGCCATATATATATATATGTTTTATTTTACTGCAAAACGAATGCATAATTATTTTGTGTATTTAGTAATAATGATAATAGTAATAACGATAGACACAAAACACTTACCCTGGTATCGACGAGTGTAAAGTTCTTTGTCTTCTTGGTTTCCTCCAGGAGAAATAATCAAAGTCAGCGCAGATCAACGACGTCCTGGCGAATAAAAACGCACAAAAGCACCGAGGAGCAGGAGGAGCAGCAGGAGCAGAAGCAGGAGGAGCAGGAGGAGCAGGAGGAGCAGGCGTCTTCACAGGCAGAACCACAGTGCGGAGGAAAGTTGTGCGCCTGCATCAGGTTGTGAAGCGGTGCGGTGGCGGAGGGATGGAGCAGGCTGCATGTACGCCTTTAGGATTTGTTGGTGTGTTGTGCGTGAAGTGGCTTGACTTGGATTTTGTACAAAGTGTCAGCCAATAGGAGCCGCAGGACTGAGCTGAGGTCTGTCTCTCTGTCTCCGTCCCTCACACTGGTGGGGAGGATTTTTTCCCTCCCCCCCCTCTCTCTCTCTCTCTCTCTCTCTCTCTCTCTCCCTCCCTCCCTCTCCCTCCCTCTCTCTCTCTCTGGGAAACAAATGTCTCCAGCTACTTTTTTTCTCTCGACGCACAGTCCTCAGCCAATGGCAGCTGACAGGGCGACTGACAACATCCCCATCCCACCGCAGAGAGGGTAATAAGTATAAAAAGTGGATGACGAGAAGTGGAGTTTACAGTCAGTTAACTCATCTTTTTTTATTTTACATTTTTGATCAAACATCGATTTCATTCAACGGAAGCATTCAGCTGTGAGGTGTTACATAAAGACTGGCTGGATGAGGAGGGAAAGATGCGCAAATAAAGAGTTTGTATAGGGAACAATATCTATGTGGCATATGCTTAAAAACTACCTCTGATGGGAGTGTGTAACTACACCAAAATATATTTTCTGTCATTAAAAATAAGACTTAATAGACTATAACTAACATTGAATAATGGGGAACATCAAATGAACATTAAATGATCTAAAAATATGGGATATTTTGGCTATTTTATTTGGATCAAACAGGAATAACGTGAAACTTTTACTGCTGTAAAGAGGGGAAATTTAAAGTAAATAAAAAGACATGCACAAGGAGAACCCCGGTTGGACTAAGCAGGACTCTGCTGCTCCGTCCTCTCACATTCCAGCGCGTCGCGTAAAAAGGGGGATTTAGAGCGACTTATTTCCTTAAAACTGTCCTCCCATTCACAGAGGCAGCCAGTCTGCTCCCATCAGCCCTGATGCGGGCCTGCATGCACCACACACAAAATAATCACCCACAATATGTACAGGGGAGTTCCCACCGGGGGACACCGAGCAGCCGAGGACTCACCGGCACCGGAGCTCCTCCATCGTCCAGGGAGGAGGATAAATACAAGAATGAAAGAAGGAAGAGCACAGACATGGGCCTGATGTGATGTGTAGCTGGTGACTTTCACTTATTTCTACTGCAAGAGGAAAGAGGATAGCAGACTTCTATATGAAGGTAGGCCTGTTTTATATTGGATGGGATGAAAGTGCACTTTTGTTGGGTCTTGTGTTGTTACATTATACTAACCTATAGAATATAATAACAATAATAATTATACATAATTGCGATTGTATTGTATATTTTTGTGGAAGAGCTACATGCTGCATTACACTGACTACACATCAGCCTTCTTCCTCTACGTCACTTGAATTTTGAACCTGCGTGCCCATCTCAAAATAATGTGCCGAGGGTTTTTGTCACGGTTTGGTAAATGTATCATCTTAAGAGGCTTTGTGGAACACCTACACACACACACACACACACACACACACACACACACACAGCAGCGCTTTGCAGGGACACACCCGCTCACTTCAGACAGATTTGAATATTGATTTAGATTTATAAACACAGGCAGATCGTGGGCTTTATGTGACTCGTCATTTGCCCCTCTCTCTCTTTCTCGCCCTCTCCCTCTCTCTTTCTCGCTCTCTCCCTCTCTCGTTGGCTCCTTCCCTTTCTCTCTCTCTCTCTCTGTGGCTCGTGTGGAAGGCCAGAGTCAAAGGTGCTCCGTGACAGCTGCTGGGAAACACTGGCTTCCACTCCGATACACACCCACACACCCACCCACAAACACACACACACACACACACACACACACACACACACACACACACACACTAGTGATTTACATACACACATCAACTCTTTACAAACTCTTTACAAACGGTCTTTTTGACAGATTTCGATCAGATGAAGTGTGGACCATAAAGTCTGGATTTCTTTTCCAACCTGGGATCTGATGGAGCAGAAGTTTGGAGGAGAGGAGCTGCAACACACCCAGGTATCCATGTTTGTTTATTTTTTTATTTATTGTAATCATGTTTATTTCTGTTTACACCCAATATTATTAGAATATTCAAATGCATTGATCCAAGTGTCATCTATGACACATAGAGCATCTGTGAGTGTGTTATGGATTTTAATTCATATTGCTTACAGTTTAGTCCTTTCGCACCAGATTCCAGGCAAAAAATCATCCCATTTAATACAGAATGTAAAGTATAAATTAAATACAGCTTCTGCAGCCTATTATTTTACACGCACATCTTGAGAGCAGCATCCTCTGACACAACAAGGACTTTTCTCACATCTGGACACGTCACAAAAACAACCAGCTTGCTGCGTAAAACATAATTTCCAACAGAGAGAAAAGTGAATATTTCCTCATGTCTAGCAGATGCGGGGTAATGCGCCCATAACGCGAGACTTTCCGTGGAGAATGGTGACGTGTGATGCGGTTATCTGCGGGATCTGAGCGTTTAAATAGCTAAATAATTTATGAAAGAGTGGAGCGGGGCCCTCCGCGGGGCCTGGGTATCTTTAAAAGGACGTTTAAAGGCAGAAGCAGTTAAACGCCTCTGGCTGCGCTCCCTCTGACTCCCGGCTAATTGACGACGACGGCTTCTCTCTTTTTCTTTTTTTTTTTTTTTTATTTATCTCCGCCTCTGCTCCACTCAACCTGAGGCTGAGGATTTCTGCAGGCCTGCTCCAACCTGTGATTTCTTCCACTTAATGCGGAGCCTACACATGCTTTTCAAAATCAAAGTGCCCAGGCCTGGATCTTTAACCCTTGTTTGATTTCCCTGAAAAGGAATAAATGCTATGTCAGGACTGGATAATTAAATAGTCAGGCTGCCCTCTCCTCGTTTTCTGCTCTGCCTCTTATCCACACATAAAAAGAAAAGAATATAAATTGAATATATATTTTATTTCTAAATAAACAAATAAAAACAACAGCCTGGGAATTTAAATGTTACCTCTTTTGCAACCCTACCCCCCAAAAAACAAATCCTGTTTGTTGAGTGATCTGAATTTAAAGCTGCATATTTCCATATTTATTTATATACATAACTGAGCAGGCAGTTTTTCTCTCCTCTTCTTCCTCCATGTTTGATATCCGCATGGCTGAATCTGGGGAATGTGTTGGAGGATTTCATTCTGAGCTTTAAAAAAGAAAGATAGAAAAAAAAAAGAGGAATAAAGCCAATTTATATAGAAATGTAGATAATCTGTAATGTTAAGGAAAGCTTTTTCCTCCTGCATTTGGGATTTAAATATACCTATTTACTTTTTACA